GGGTTGGAAACATCAGCAAATGTTGTATTGTCATTTCCACCAAATGCTTTATACTTAGCAAGAAGCTTCTTTAGGTTGTTACTTGACCGGTTAACTTGACCACAAAGTCTCTTTGCAACTGCTTGACCATCTATATTAATTTTACAAAAGGAGTTGTTAATCCATGCTTAATATATCAAATTCATATATAACATCATTGATTTTTTTTCCACATAATTTTCATCAACTCTTTCAGAATACAAGCATTTAAGGCCACAAGCTATCTAACTAATATGGTTTAAACTAGTATGTGATCCTGTATATCAGTACAGTAGAAACTATTTTACATACCTAATGCATACACCCTGTCTCTTATACACATCTAGATGTGTATAAGAGACAGATATATATGTACTTTAGTTACAGGTCATTTTATAATTTTGATTTCCTGATGGGTTGTGTTTGTAAGTTATAATAATGTAACAAAATTTCCCTCCCTCTTTTTTTTCAGTAGTATTGGTCCACAGATTCCAACTATTCAAATACACACTATTTGAACTTGGAAGATACTACTGTATCAGAAATAAGTTATAAAAATCAAATAACACTAGTATTCAGGGAACAATTAATGAGAATCCAATATTAAACGTAACAAAACAATCCCCGCAAAAATGATTACACAGTTAAATAAAATATGCCTACAATGTTTGCACCTCCACCCTCATCCACTCTCCTGACGCAAATTTAAATGCGGATGCTGAAAATACTAGCCCTAACAACTACTGAGTATTAATTTGCCAATGAATATGTCACTTTTCAGCTAGTCTGTATCACTATCCTCATCTGTGTCAACATAATCATAATCCTCCTCATCTTGATCATTCTCATTTTCATCATCACTAACCATTTTGTCTTTACTGTCATCAGTTATAACATGAGCAATGACATTGTCCTGAATCATGTTTGCAATTGTATCTGGTGGAGTTGGCACATCAATGGTATTGCAAAATCGGTTTGCCAAGCCTTTTATAATCCTCTCAAATTTTAAAACTTGGTCAACAAGATAGGACTGTTCGCCTAGGTCAACATTTTCTTGTGCAATACGTTGACAGTGCATTTCTTGCTGACTCAAATAGTACGTCATTACATTTTCCATCTCTCTTTCTACAAAAAAAATTTCCTCCTGTGCTCTTTCTTTTAAGAAAGACAGCTTAATTGTCTCCCTCTTCTGGATCAATGGTACTCCAGAGGTCTGTTGGAATAAAAAGTGGATCAATATCAATTACCATATTACACAACCTTTCAACACATTCAACATGTAATTATATCAAACATTACGCTTATAATCAAACAGATGTTTCACAGACTACAATGAGTGATTTGAGAATATTGAAAAAGCCCAAGTGTACCTGCCATATGGTATGAGGAATGATTTCATAGTCCTAATATTCATTAGTTGTAAATGAAAAGTATTTGAGAAAATTGATAAATTATGTTTGAATGACTTACAACCTCATTTTATAGATGTTTTGCCACTGAGTGCCAAAAATGTTATGGACCTAACATTGTGTCCATGCAGGATTTCCCAGCCTAAAAAATTTACATACTAAATAGAACACCATGATCTGGTGCAAGCCTATGTAATATTGAAGCAAGCTTGCTGCAAGACTGGTACTGTATTCCTGTTTAAAACTGCAGTAGGAGTTCAAGCATATTTTAATTAAAAAAAAAAATTTAATTATAGAAACAGTCAACATTAAAATTTTAAAAACCTTATTTTAAAAATTTGGAAACACTTCCAATCAGATGTAAACAAAATTGCAAAAGCATAATATGTTAACGCAGTTCTTACCTCACATGCTGGAAGGTAGATGTTGCCATCTGGGTTGGAAACATCAGCAAATGTTGTATTGTCATTTCCACCAAATGCTTTATACTTAGCAAGAAGCTTCTTTAGATTGTTACTTGACCTGTTAACTTGACCACAAAGTCTCTTTGCAACTGCTTGACCATCTATATTAATTTTACAAAAGGAGTTGTTAATCCATGCTTAATATATCAAATTCATATATAACATCATTGATTTTTTTTCCACATGTTTTGGGTAATTTTCATCAACTCTTTCATAATACAAGCATTTAAGGCCACAAGCTATCTAACTAATATGGTTTAAACTAGTATGTGATCCTGTATATCAGTACAGTAGAAACTATTTTACATACCTAATGCATACACCAGACCACCCCAAGTTTTAATTGTTTATAAAAATAAGTAATAACATGTTAAGTACCATAATACTTCTTTTTCAAGTCCAAAAGAAACATCCGTTCTTGAGCTCCTTCCCTCATCTTGTCAAGAATGTCTTTTTGGCACCTTCTTTGAAGGACATCATTCGCAGATATATATTTTAACTCATCTTTGTGCCATCTTTTGCTGATTCCCTTTGCTTTCTCTAAACATGCAACAGATTTCTGTAGTCTGACGACAATAAAATCAACAAATTAATACAGTATATCCCTAATAAATAGTGGAAGAAATAAAAACAAAACATCCAAAAAAAAAACATACATACTTGGAAATGAATAACTATTTATAGGAAATGTAACAGACTATATAATTGATATAATTTAATGAGGAAGGGGAAAGTGTCCCTGAAATACTGGCACTATTGTTTTCAAATATTTATTAATATCCAGATTATCATGTAACCATTCTAAGAAAAAAGAAATTATGTATTATAATATCTTTGAAAGTCAGATTGTTCACAGATAGTTTGTCTATAACCAAATGAAATGATTAACTTCTTGGGCAGAGAATATGTATACTAAACCTATGCAATCATGGTAGAAGAAAACATACCCTTACCTAGTATACTGCTCAATTAAATCTGGATCCTTGTCTTCTTGTATACACTCCCTTAAGTGTTTAAAAGAAGTGAATTAAATTAAGTATTGGCTTTATAACATCTGTATACATGTTAAGCACGACAATTGTATTGCCAAGGCAACAGATAAAACATGTATCTAACTCTCATAAAACATTAATCATATTGCAATTGACACACCACTAAATATGTTACAATGTACCTGAATGAATTCAGTCTCTGCAGCTGTTCAACATAAACCTCTTCCCATAGCTAAAATGACAAATGCACAGTAAATGATATAATAGTTTCAAATATAATAATAATAATTATTATTATTGTATTTCTAATAGTAATAACTACCATAAATTACATCTCTATCTCCTATATTACTGTTAAACTTTGCAACTGAAATGTTATTATGTAAACAGAGAATGTAAAAGTTATATATTAAAAAATACCTTTAACAGGCTTAGCCTTGGAGCACAAACAGGGGCGGATCCAGAAATGTCCAAAAGGGGGGGCTGGAAAGGGGGCCGAAAGTTGGGCCAATTGAGACAACACTGTCGTAGGGGGTCCGGGGCATGCCCCCACGAAATTTCTGTGTTCTAGACACCCGAACATAACATTTGAGGCATTCTGGGCTATCATTTTTTTCTTTTTCTCTCTTTTTTTCCTTTTTTTTTACCTCCCAAAAGGGGGGCTGGGGTCGGGCCGGCCCCCCTCCCCCCTAAATCTGCCCCTGACAAAGTAGCCTTTTCTTCAATCTTCCATTCTTGAATTGTCTCTTCTGTAATGACTGCAATAAATAAATGCAAACGATGGCCACAATTCTTCAGATACTTACACACACATAAATACATACACATATAAATACACACACATATATACACCTACGTACATACATACATACATAAATACAATTGCATTGAATGTGGTTGGTTAAAACTGGTTGTAGCAACTGTGTGTGCACTGAACCTTGGTGATATTGGATTTGCTGGTTCAATTTCCATCATGTTTCTTTCCCTATTTAACAAGAACAACACAGGCTAGTGCATCGTCTTTAGGATGAGACAATAAGCAGATGGTCCTGTGTACTACTTGGCTCTGTGCACGTTTAAGAATGCAGTAGGCTTTTCTCAAAAAAGCAGGGGATTGCTAAACACCACCTATCCTAATAGTATAGTATCGCACTGTAAATAGGTATTCAGACTTACAGGGTGACCCACTGGTCAAGATGCTGAACTGGCAATAATGAGATTGCATAGGTAGAAAAACATACATAGATATGATTTCAATCCAACATGTCAGTGCTGTGGTCAGTGGACCAATTCCAACAGACACCATATGCAGTACTATAGAACATTCTGTGTTGCCACACATGAATTAAGCAAACATACCAGGTACCCAATCACTCCAAATGGAGACAGAAAGAACACCATACCCAATAATACAAGCACATAACTAGAAATTAGTTTGAGAAAACAATACTACTTATATGAAAATATTAACAATATTATTAGTTTTCCTTTTTGTAATAGCTGACTATCTAGAAACTAACCTTTATTGATGAGCCTGATTTTATCACCAATCTCCTTCTCAGTATTCTTCAAAATAGATACTGCTTTACTATGCTTCTGCACAAGAACCTTCCCTGTGTAACATATTAAAATTTGTGTGCGTATTGAACAAATTTCCTTATTTTTCCATTGTTGAACATCACATTAAGAACGCTCAAAACAAACACATTACATTAAATTTTCTCTCATAGAATTTCAAATTGTTGGCCTAACATAAATATGTTACAAGATAAATAAGTTAAAAGAGAGGTGCATAAAACATTGAATTACAGTAGAAACTCATACATACCTCATGAAACTTTGAAAATTCGTAAAACACATTTCAGGGAGGCCATATGCACCCACTTGATTTTAAAGAATTGACTGATCATGAGAGGAACTTTTAAACATTCGTATTATAAAACACATTTTTAAAAGTAAGCAAATTACCAATGTTTCTCTCTTTCCGCTTAGCATAATGAAGCAGGGCATCAGTTAGTAAATCTACTCGGTGGGATGGTGTCATTTCTTTAGTTATTCTTGCAGAACACCTTAGATATGACCATCTTTCAATACCTTCACCATCGGTCAGCCCAAATCCTGTGGTTCTTCTTGGATTAAACTCCACCTAAAAATACATTATAGAGATTTAAAGGATACGGAACATATTTTATATTTCTCTTATGAGAGCTGATTAATTTCATATACTACCTGACAGGAAGCCTGGTGGCCGTAGCAATGTAAGATTGGTATTTTCATCTGCATCTTGGCAAGCATATCATCTTGGTTTCGAATCTAGAAAAATAATCACTTGAGATAAACTATCGTGGAAATATTATGTCTTAATGTCATGTTATTCCATGTTTCCACAATTATACTGGAAACACGTAAACACAATTTAAAAAAAATTAAAAAAAATTAATTAAATGTAACAAACTACTGTACTGATGTCAAAAAAAACAAAGTGGTTTACTTGCCATAGTACAGTAAACAGTTAGTTAATGGAAATTTATAATTAACTGTACACAATAGCAACTAGACAGGCATTTCTGTGGCCAAGGTGTATTGGTCAAAATAATAATAATAATAATAATAATAATAATTTTGGTTTATATAGCGCATTATGCTAAAGCCTCAATGCGCTTAACAGTAAAAATAAAATTCGGGAAAAAAATTAAGAAAAATACAAGTTAAAAAGGTGAGTTTTTAAAGCTGCCTTAAAATCATCAATTGAAGTATTTTTAAATATCCTTAGCTGGCAATCCATAAAGCAATGAGTTACAACAATCCAACCTTGATGTTACAAAAGCATGAACGAGAATCTCAGTTGATCTAGGATCAAGGTACTTCCGGATACTCCAAATTCTACGAATTGACTGAAGCCCGGCTTTACAGATGTTGTGTACCTGATTAGACATACTAAGGGAAGAGTCCATAACAACTCCAAGATCTGTCTCTTATACACATCTAGATGTGTATAAGAGACAGGTCCAGCCTTCTTCCGCCCTGTCTCTTATACACATCTCTATGCACAATTCTAGTCTACTGAGAGCAGCATCGCGCTGATCTGGATGGAAAATAACATAGAGCTGCGTATCATCAGCATATGTCATACACTTCACATCATGTGAAGCAATAATGTCAAGCAGCGGAGCTGTAAATAGAATAAATAAAATTGGTCCAACAACCGAGCCTTGGGGGACACCAAATGTAAGTAAAGTGGGATTTGACATAACATCCTTGATAGCAACAGACTGAGACCTATTCTCTAGATATGATGCAAACCATTGGTGGGCGATACCAGAGATACCATAGCGCGAGGATAGACGGTTTAGTAACTGCTTATGATTGATGGTATCGAAAGCAGCACTAAAATCCAAAAGGACCATTAAAACCTCATTATGGTTATCAAGTGCAATCTGAATATCGTTCTGGACATAAAGAAGAGCAGATTCCGCACTATGATTTGGTCGATAGGCCGATTGTCTAGAAGCGAATAAACCATTGCTGTTAAGATAAAATTGCAGCTGATTGGATGCCACCCTTTCGATGACCTTCCCAAGGAATGGAAGATTGGAAATAGGTCAATTATGGCTTTTTCAACAAGGGAGTAATGCAGGCATGCTTAAGCGAAGATGGAAATAAACCTGAGCTCAAGGAAGTGTTCACAACTTCAGTTATAATTGATATGAGAGCAGGAAAGCAAGCCTTGAACAATTTCAATGGAAGTGGGTCAAGAGAACATGAGGTAATTGAAGATGACATTATAACCTCCAAAACTTCCTCTTCAGAGACAGCAACAAAATGAGAAAAGTCACTTGTGCAAGACTCGAACGCAGGTGTTAAATTTTGAGGAGAGTCAGATAACAGTGTGCTGCAATATTTTTCAATTTTTGACTTGAAAAAATCAGAAAACCTGTTAGCAAGTACTTTGGGATCATCGTATGAAGGAAGAGAGTTTGAGGTGCTAACTGATGTTAATTGGTCAACAACACGAAATAGCTTGCGTTGATCACACCCCAAAATTTTATTTTTGTAGAAATGGGCTTTAGCTTTGCAAAGATGTTTGTTGTATTTGGTACATTGGCCTCGATACAGTTGTTTATCTACCATAAGACCAGATCTCAACCACTTGCGTTCTAAACGTCGGCGTTCAACCTTCATTTTATGGTGGTCGCACAAATACCATGGTGCATGAGGTCTAAGCACAAATGAACGCTTCAGTAGTGGAGAATGAACATTGACTAATGCTGTATTGGTGAAATTCAATTCTCAATGAGGCCACTGATGTAAATCATCTTAAGCAATATTAACAATATTATTATCTAATAAGTTAAAAACAGAAACGAATCACATAAAGAAAATTATTGTTATTGATTGCTTTAGGTGTGAAAACAGAACACAGGCAATGTCATATGTTACATTTAACTTTTGGTCTTTGGAGGCAGGTACATTTAACAATTTATCCAGGAGTAGCACTGAGTAGGCCAACCTATATGACAATTATATGAAATAGTTGAATCAATACTTTAGGTTACAATCTTTAACATCTATTCAAAGAATGGTTTGTACAGATTAACAACCATTCACTCACATTCAATCAGTAGTGAACAGCTTGGTGAGCTGTGCTTTCAAGTTACATGTTTTTCCTGATAAATGTTTACTCATTTAACGACATTAACTGAGACCTAATCAGCTTCATCCTGTTTGGTGTATTTGGTGACTTTGAATACAACTCTACAGATACATTGTTATCAACTTGACTATCAATATCGTAAGTACAGTAGTTCTGAGTTGACTAATGTCATCAACAACCCAGTGGGCAATTAAAAATGAGGTACTATTACATTAGTCAATGTCCAGTTTAATTTGAAATTAAACTACTTTACAGTACCTCTCTCCATGTTGCATATTCATGAACAATACTGGTAATTCGTGTCTGCAGACGCTTCCAAATACACCAGTCACATCCATTTTGGAAGTTCTTGATTTTGAACGTACTTTGTCACCTGCCTTGAACTGATTACATTCCTATGGAAGTGTAAACAAAAGTAATAGCACAAATTCATTTAATGGACTATCTGAGCCCCATAATGATAGATAGTTTACAGAGCAGCAATTGTATTTTTTTCATTCAGTGAAAAAAAATATGCCTTCCTACAAACCTTAAAGCCTGTTGTTGAGTCATTGTATGAATTCACAAAATTACTGACTTCTTCATCTGTTATAAAAAATCTTTCAACAATGGCTTCTGCCTCGAAAAGACCAAGACAGTGTATTTCCTGTCTCTTATACACATCTAGATGTGAATAAGAGACAGGGCCAAAATTTGCATCTATGGCAACAAATCTTGTTCCACTACCCTATTAATTATAAAAATTCATATCTATATTAATGGATTCTAGAAACTTATGCATGTCACTAAATGGTCTAAAGGTTATGCATTTGCACATTAAGCAAAGATTCCTCATCTTTACCACTGTATAAAATGTCATTAAATGTATACACTACAAATACTCCTTTTAAGCAGTAAAGACTGGATTATTTTGGGTTAGACCAGACTTTGTTTACAGCCAGTCAGAAGTGTCTGATAATATTTTTTATAAAAATCAGCAATTATTCAAAACTGACATCTACTGTAGTACTTGGTAGCAATAATCAATATTATTTAATTACTACTAATTAAAATATACTGGTTATATTGCATCGGACTGTGCTGCAATTTAATAAGCTTTTCTTTACAATATAATTTTGCATTTGCTGCAGAAGCAAGATACTTTTGGGAGGCTAATTACAGTATATTCACCTTAGGACAGGCAGGGCATACAGTACCATCATCCAATTTATTAAAGTTTCCCAGTTTGTAATAGGAATGCCTGAATTCACAAACAGTCTCCTTACGGATTAACTCCTTCAAATGATTCGCCTGAAAACAGTAAATAAATAATTATAGTGGCTGTTTATTATATCAAATATTGCTCTCATCCATAGGCAACTCAATCTGTTTTGAGTTTCATCTTTCATCATTCACTATTATTTACATATTAATCCTTCAAATGATTCGCTTGAAAACAGTACTTTTTTTGATTAAAACAGTTTATTTTCAGATAAAAGTGAAGCATTTTTTTCACAATGAGGCATGGTAACACTATACAGTATTGGCAAAGTCACTGGTAAGATCTAATACGCCAAATACAGTATCGGGAATTCATTCTTGAAGTACTGTACTTAAACACAAGTACTACATTATTAAAAAACAGGAGTACAACTCCAGTATATTTCATCAAGTGTAGTCTAAATAATATAGTGCTACTTTGACTTACCTGAAAAGGCTGTAGATCATTCCGTATTATTAAAGCTTCACAGAATCCCTTTGTGGAAACTTTGCATTCTAGAAGCAATATTTCCATCCACTTCATCAGTTCTATTGCAAAAGCAACCTTTACTTGCTTAGCTGTAGCTGGCCACAACTTCAATTTTATCATTGTTACCACCTCCTCTTCACAAGAGCAGAACTGGATATTTAGCTGATGCCATCTGCCTACAATTGTACAAAAATAAGTTGGTGCATGTATGGTTTTATGAGAGCCAAAACAAAATTGTACAGATTTTACTAAACCACAGACTACTTATTTCTTTAGACGCAAATGTATAATGACACAATTTCAACGACAAACAGGTCAACTAGATACACCATCCTGCAATTGTAATGGTNNAAATATTACAATGATATTAACAAGTTCTGAAACCAGATGAGTAAACAGCTTAGGCCTACTTACTTTCCATACTTTGGGTATATGCAGAATGTACTTTTGGTGGGTCACCGAAACACATGACACACAAAAATTCACATTTGGACCACAATCCAAGCAGCGGAATATTTTGTCTTTTAAAGGGAGATCACAGGCACTACAACAAGAGTTCAAACAAGGAGACCAGTTGTCAATAAGGCTAGGAACAAGTATGTCTCTAACACTTTGCCAATCATGTACCTCTTTCTCTTTCCTTTTGTAATGCATACTTGGTTGATGTTCTTTTTGAATTCCTGTTTCAATGTCCATTGGTGACTCATCTCTAATCGATGGTGCCTCTTGCAGAGCGATAGGTACATGACACTGTTGTCCATTGACAGCTATCCTTTTTGTTTTGCTTGACCCATATAGAAATTTACGAACAGGGCGTTGGCGCCTCGTGCCAGTTCTCACAATGATGAACGGTCTACTGACTACAACCCCTGACCTGCGGCGATGCATTATAATTCACTGTACAATTTGTTAATTTCTGTGACCTCCTCATGCTTCTGTCCAAAAAGCGCGCTCAACAGGCTAAGTAACGCCCTCTTTAACACTAGTAAAAATAGTTTTTAAGATCTTCGATATAGATCGTACAGGGCACCAGTCAGCTAAACCACCAGTAGGCCTAGGACCTAGAAGAAAATAAATTTCATGTATAGTGTACTGTATCTAACAACAGCAAATCTAGCAACATGAAATTCCCACAACTGATCAGAGAAATCATAATATAACTATTAGGCTACATGTAATTTGACAACACCGCTTCAGTTGATGATCTTTCTGGCATCTAATTATATTGATTGCATTAACCGACAATTGGCAATGTTATATTTTTATATTTCAATTTGGTTTCAATTTTGTCTTGTCCAATTTGTAAGGTGTAGGTATCTGTATCTATAATTTCCAGGGAGCAGCTAAAAATTTAACTTAGCTGCTTCCTGATAATTTTGTACGTTTATAATTTTAAATTTTATGTGCCCATAATCCTAAGCTAATTTTGTCTTCACTTGTGTTCTAATGTACAGGTATTTTAGATTTACTGGTAATTAATTTTTTTTCGGAAACGTTCTGTATCAATAGATAATTACAAAAGAAACTAATAAAAATGAAGAGTAAGCCTAGGCCTACACATCTCAATGTCACTCAACTAAGGTCCTAGCAACCCGCATACAACAGAAACAAAGAGGCCTAGGTCGGGGCCAGGCTATGCATACTACCGGGGTAGGGACGTCCACATTAGGCCTAGCTAAGCCTACCTTCATCATGAAATTGAAAGTCATTTTCATTATATTGATTGTAAATTCGTAAGGTTAAACTGTAAAACATGTGAACTTTTGGGTCTTAAAACAAAAGAAAACTGGGAAAAGAAACCTTTAGGCCCAGTACTTCAGGAATATTGAATATCTAGAGAGTGCGAAGGTGCAGGTAGGGCCTAGGCTAGCTTATATAGCCCAGGCCTATCTAGGCCAATGTGCCAATTATGATACGAGTCAACTGTCTTATACCATGGAGGTATACCTCCATGAGATACGGTATATTTGTAAGTTTACATACCTTTTTCACACGATAATAGCTTAATGTAGACCTGGACTAAATTATTCAGACAAAAACCGGTAAAAAAATAGCTTTTTATCTGTTATAAGCCTATCCTTCTGACTCGTGGTCAGCCGTCACGTTTTCTCGCCTTGGCCCACCCTCTACGGCGGTTGCTCTTTTGCTCTCTGGTTGCCAGACCAATATTATTTGGTGTGACATGGTTACATGTCTCATACATTTAACAGTAACACACGTGTGTAGGGCCATTCTTTGATAGCAGACGACGTATAACTTCCTGTGAGTTACATCGTCTCGTAACAAGTAACTGTATGCGTATCGGGTGATAATAGAAGGCCACCACTGGTATACACCAGCCTCCTGCACCACTTTTTTAGGGTGGTGTACAGTGAGAAATTCAATCAATCAAGTGCCTAAATTGGCTAGTAGGTAGGCCCTCTCTGGCGTCATGCTATTTTCTCTAGGCCCGTGTAAATTTGTTATCTGCTACGCTGTCGTTGGCCCTCTTTCTTGTTAATGTTACAGTAGTGTTATACGATTAGCTAGCCTACCCTAGGCTAGATACCTAGCTACTTTAGTCGGCCAAAGAGTATAAATCAGAGCCATATATATAAAGAGTTGCGACATTCCGCTCCTTGGTTTACGAAAGTCACGTGGTACACACCGTCCATTTTGTTTCATAATCTTCCCGATGAACACATGCAAAGTATATGTGTTA